TTGACTTGTATGTCCGAATCAGTGCAGACTGCTAGCCCTCTATTGTTCCACCGTCAGTGGGTTGTCTTCCCTCTCTTTACAATGACGGATGGATTTCTAATGTGCTCATCTACAGAATCTAAATGATTTTTTTTCATGGAGTTGTATCAGAATTTTCTGGAATAGAATCACTGTCTAGCTTAGCATATGAAGTCTGTGAGGAAAACAGTGACATCAGGTCTCTTGTTGGCAGGAATTTTGGCATATTTACTTCTCCCATAGGAATTGTTGAAATATCGTTGGACCCCTCTGTCGGTTGCTGGGATCTTCCTCTCTCTATCAACTTTCTGTTGGGGTTGCCGACTTTCTAATTGCACAAAACCGAATACCCTTGCCCCACCTCTTCTCCAAGGCCCCGTCCCCACTCACTCCATCCCCCCCCTCCATCTGTCACTTGCTCTCCCCCACCCTCACTCGCTCGCTCATTTTCACCGGGCTGGAAGTTGGGGTGCAGTAGGGGATGATTGCTCTGGCTGGGGGTGCAGGCTCCAGGGTGAGGCCAGAAATGAGGGGTTTGGGGTACAGGAAGGGGCTCTGGGCTGGGGCAGGGGGTTGGGGTGCAGGAGGGGGTGTGGGTTCTGGGTGGCGCTTGCCTCGGCTGGCTCCCCAGAAGTGGCGACATATCCCTCGCTCCTAGGCAGAGGGACGGACAAGGGGGCTCTGTGCGCTGCTCCCACCCTGAGTGCCAGCTCCACAGCTCCCATTGGCCAAGAACTGCAGCCAATGGGAGCTGCTGGGGTGGCACCTGTGAGTGGAAGCAGTGTGCAGAGCCACCTTGTCTGTCCCTCCGCCTAGGAGCCAAGGGACATGTCATTTCTGGGGAGCTTCGCAGAGCCAGGTAGGGAGACTTCCAGCCCTGCGCCAACTGAACTTTTAGTGGCCCAGTCAGCAGTTCTGACTGGAGCTGCCAGGGTGCCTTTTCAACTGGGTGTTCCAGTCGAAAACCGGACACCTGGCAATCCTAATTTCTGCAGTTATTTTATATAGTAATTAGTGGAAGCTACATCTCAAGACACTTAAAGCTAGAGTAGGCAGACCCCTAGAAAATATTCTGCAGCAGGAAAATCTTAAGGCTTCATCCCACAGCCATGGTCATATGAATGCAGATTCCAGGATCAGTCCCTTGCATTGTGTCTCTACCTCACAAAAGTAAGGCTTAACTCATTCATGAAGCATTTTGAAATCTTCAGATGGAAGGGTGTTATAGAAGGGCCCAATACTATTGCAGGAGGATGGGACTATGACTAAAGAGGTCTCATTACTACGAAGTGGAATATTTTAAGTGCAGTATAACTTTTGATTTTATCACTTTGTATAGTGTGGTATTGCTTATCTTCCGAGAAAATTGCTTGTCTTCTGATAAAAATTGTAAATCTTGGCTAAAAAGGGTGTTTAAAATATCCTTAAGATAGGAAGACATATGATCAAAAACTACCTCATTCAGTGGCTTTAATCTTGGAAAGAATTGCACCCTTCTCCCTCCCACTTTCAAAGTGAAATTGGCTAGCTTGCCAGTGGCTGAGACTGTAAGATGTTGGGGGGGAAAGAGTGCTATGTGGTGCTCAATAATAAACTTGTTCCTTAATTGGAGATTAACAGGCTCCACAAAGAACCTGTTTGTGGATGGAAAAATTGAATTAAGATGACCACTAAACATACAAATATCTTGAGAAAAGGAAGAAAGTGAATAACCAAACCTGGCTGCTTTGGACAATTTATTTAATAAATACAAATCTACTTTTGGAGACTTGGCCTGATTTCACCTTAGCTCATTCCCCAAAAAAACCCCAAACTCTGGGTGCCTTGGACAGAGAATTATTTCTGTATCTTGGAAAACACTTTCGACTATTTCTGGGAGCTAAAACTTGATAGACGTCTCAGGGGCCCTGCTTTATTTACAGCATGCTTGAAAACAAAGTGAAAAATGACTGATTTTTAACACTGCTCCTCACTATGTAACACACACAGTCTTCTTGAATGATACTCTTAAGCAATTCAGACATTTAGGGAAAAGTTGCTTCTCTGGAGTCTTGTAAAACTCAGTTTTATAAAACCTGTCAGTTACTAGTAGAATTTTGTTGTTGCTAATTTGTCTATAAAACAATCTTATCTACTGACATTTATAAACTCTGAGGTCAGAGTCTTTTTTGTTGTATGTTGTTGGGGATGCATTCTTTACTGAACTATCTTGTCTAATCCTATGACCTCTTGCAAAAATCAGCTTTTCTTCAATTAGAAGGGTTATCTGTAAAGCAACTCTAGTGCTAATAAGAGCCAATTCTACTATGCTGGTATTTCTCTATTTAAAAACCTGGCGGTACATACTCTGCACTTTTGTTTTAAAAACATAGTGATTTTGCAAATGATCAAAATGCCTAACCCTAAGTAGGAAGATCTAGCAAAGTCTTTTTATCCATGATATTCACTTCCAAAGTTTGTTCAAAACCTTGTTTGGGGTTTTAATGACTGAATAGTAACATTAGATCCTAAACTTTAGGGGCAGGAATCATGTCTTCTGTAAAAATTCCCAGCACATTCTGGGGTACTGTAAAGCAAAAAATAAATATCACAAGAAGGAAACTGTGTAAGGCTATAGTCATAGCGCACACTTGAACGCTATTAATTTCATTAGTCACTAAAACAGCCAGTAATCTTGCAGTAGCAATGGGAATCTTAACTGCAGTTAGTAAGCTGTGAAATAAACTTTCATTTAAGCATAGTGATTGTGCGGATACTGGTGCACTCACAGCCTGGAAAAGATATTTTGTGGTGTTTCCAATGGCTCTTCAGTGAATTAAAAAAAAAAACCTTAATTTTTTGTTGTACAAAACTGGGGGGGAGGGGAAGGAGATGTGTGGTGTTGATAGGTTGCAGATGACAATGTCTGGATGTCTAAACTAGTACAGTTCAGAGACTGGCTGAGAAGGTGGAACATGGAACTTGGCCATCAACAGAGATCTCTTGGGCTGGAGACTTTCCTGGGCACAGTTTAGTTTTTAGATGTGCATAGCCATGTGGTCATGATCAAGGAAACGGGGATGGGTGGGCAAAAGTTTACTACTGACTTGCATAATTTATCTCACTTTCTGGGGGAAGCCACTAATTTCCCCATATCTCAAAGACTTCTGAAGAATGGCAGAGGATTGAAGTGAGGCCTCAATATTTCATTACTCTTACAAAGGCAAATACACTTTAAAATATTCTAAATTTAAAATTAAACTACAGTTGTGTAAGTGATGATAGTGTCTCAAAACATACTTTGTTCTTTGATTTATTTTGTTTACTATGAGGTTAAATTGTTGCTTTTGTTTTTTTCTGAAATATGTGGGAGATATGGAAGTATACTGAAGGTGCATGCACCTTGGCATAGTGTATGTCCACAGGGTTAGAGGCAGGTAGAACGCCTGCTGTATGTGCTGTATAGTGTATAGCATTTATACAGCTTCTCTTGGAGTTTCTCGCACCTGCCTTCTCTCCTCATTCCAACACCACATCTACTGTAAGATGCTGTCTTGCTTTGGGCTTGGCAGACCCTGGCAATACCAGCCTATGGCTTTGTCTACACTGGACTTTTGTCTTTTGGGGGTGTGGGAAAAAAAAACAAAAACCTCTGAACGACAAAAGTTTTACCGACGAAAAGTGCTGGTATGAACAGCACTTTGTTGGTGGGACAGCCGACAAAGCTACCACCACTCACTGGGGGTGGAAGATTTTGGTGTGCGGGAGAGCTCTCTCCTGCCAACAAACAGTGGCTATACTGCACGGCTGTAGCGGCACAGCTGTGTCACTAAAAGTGTAGTGTAGACGTAGCCTTAATTGTGCCTCTGTTCTGTGGGAGTGCACAAAGCTGAAGAGGCTCCTCTTTTACTAACCCATAACCATCTATTCTAGGATAGATGATCTGTTGATCCTAACTACCAAGATTATTCAGTAACTCACAGCAGGCTTCTTCTGAAGATTCTGAGAATTTCCTAAAAGCTGCAAAAACAATTTGTAGGAATATTGAATGTTAAGTAAGTGGAGGATGGAGTGGTAAACTTGTCTTATAAGTAGTGTAGCAGTTTTAACTTTGAGTTATCTTTGGTGGCTTCTAAATAGCATAAGACGTGCTTCATGATTGTGCAGAATTCTTTTTATTCTAACTAGCTTACAAATATATTTGGCATCTTGCTATCAAACAAAACAAATTTAAAACCCTTTTTTGGTCATAGTGGTGTCTTGAAAGCAGCCTTGAAGAAGGAGGTTTTTGAGACCCTGCTCTCCAGGAGGCAGTCTTTAAACTCTGGAGGGCCTTTCACAAGCCCACAATAGCAGAAGCATAGATAAAATTGGTGCCTCTGAAAGTCCTGGTCTTGGAGGACATAATGGGGACATGTTACGTGAATTATTTACTCATGTACACCTAGAGCACACTTCCAAAGCAGTTAGGAGAAACTCGTTCCAGGGTTAAATGTTGGTGCCTCTTCTATGGTACTGTCAGGATTGTGAATAGGTACCAAATGCTTTCATGTTTTTGTTTCACTTACTTGAGTGAGTCTCTAAAACTTTGACAAACAGGAAGTTGGGATGCAGGTATGTCTGACTCTTGTCCTTCAAAATATAGCTCTAGCTTGTAATATGTGATGACTCTGTACTAGGTTCATTGACTTTCTGTGGTGTCCACTGCCCTCCAGATTTAAACTTCAGAAGTGAAGGAAAATTTACTTTTAAACCTCAATCTTATGTATGTCCATTGCTGGACTGAGAGGAAAATAGGCTGAAGTTTAAAACTGCAGGAAAAAGCTTGAGGAACAAGTTGAGGTAGAGAGGTTGGGGAAAAGTTATTTTTTTCTTAAAGTAAATCTGAGGTAAAAGCATCAATGCTACTACATAATCTAACAGTTTTTTAAGTTAGTCTAACACTAATATTGTATTGCTTAACTATTGGTATGGCTGTGTGTTAACTGTCATTTCTATTACAGGAGTCTTATCCCTCTTCATCACCAATATGGTTTGTGGAATCAGATGACCCAAACCTGACTTCAGTGTTGGAGCGATTAGAAGATATTAAGAAGAGCAATACTCTGGTGAGGAACTAGTGGTTTTTTACTTTTTCATTAACTGCAGGTCAGATTAAATAAAAAGTGGTTTCACGTGGCAAGGCTCCACTCCCACCCCAATACTTTTGGCTGTTTTGCATATACTTTCATATCAGAATGCAGGCAGCTCTTTTTAAAGTACTTGAATAGTAATTCCAAAAGGCTTGAGTTTTTTGCATGACTTGAAACTGTCTGAGAGAACATTTGTTAAATTGTCAGTGGTGTAACTTATGCATTCTGAAAATAGTTAAATGATAAATAGATTTGCACATAAGAACTTAAAACCTATTAAAATCTCTTAATGGGAAGCATTTGAATATTAGTCACTGGTATTTCCATTATGCGGAAATTATAATTATTTCATTACTTTTGGGGGTAGTTTAATGTGTGGTTTTTAGAGTAAATGTGCTCCAGAATTCAGCTGGAACTGTGGTTTCCACAGCTGTATAATTTCTCACACTGAAACCTGAACATTTTTCAGAGTCTTTGCTTTTAGTAGGAAAGATTTTAACAGATAACTAATTTGTCCTAGACCGCTTTGCCATCAGGTGGTAATGAAATTGGGCACTTACATGATGGACTTGGAGGACTGGAATGTACAGATTGTTTAAGTTGAAAACTGCTGGAGTACAAGTTCTGTACCAGTAAAGGCTGTTTGGTGGCATTATTTCTGGCGTGAGAACCCTTTGGTGCAATTACGGGGAAACCCCGCTATAACGCACCCCACGATAATGCAAATTCGGATATAACGCGATCATAAGGTGGCTCCTGCCGCCACAAGCGCACGCAAAAAAAAAAAGGCGGCCGGAGCACCGCTGAAGAAAAACAAAAAAAGGAACGTGCCGTCCCCACTGCCTCTTCCACCCCCCCCCTTCTCCTTTTGGCGGGAAGAGCCATTCTCCCCAGCTGCTCCTCACTCTTCCTCTGCCCCTTGCACATCTCCCCTGCTCTCTGCCCAAGAGAAATTGACCTGCTTGAAACTGACCTGCTTGAAACTGACCGGCTTTAAATGGTACAATTTTCGTAACCCTGCTATACCGCGACTCCGCATTTATCTCAATTGAATTTTTTGGACCCCAATCATCACGTTATAGCGGGGTTTCACTGTATTTGTATTAGAATTGTATCAAATCAAAACATTACTTTCTTATACTGTGCAAGGAAGGTGAATGGGACTATGTCCCCAGCGGCTTTTGATTGCTACAATGTTTCTTTTTTTTTTTTTTAAGGGAGGGGGGATCCTAATTTTTTTTGCAGGATATTAGTTGCCATATGGATTAATATTGGTTATATATGATTCATCATACATTCATTTGTTTGGGCGGGGGGAAATAGGGAAATATTCATGTAATTTGCCTGAAATGTTCAGCATGTAGACTTGGTTCTTGACGTGTGACTTTTAATTATCTGGATGTAAAAATGCACAGGATAAATTACATTTAGGAGACCATGCAGAAATAGCAAGGAAATTAACAACTGAAGGTGAAATTTACCATATGTCTTCCAATAATTAGACGTAAAGGCATTTTGGAGCCTACAGGAAGAAGCCTCCCAGCTCAGGTCGACAGACTTGGGTTAGTGAAGCTTGCGCTAATGTACTAAAAATAGTCTAAGGAGGGGGGTGGGCTTCAGAGCCTAAGGTCCAGCCCAAAGTGCTGTCTATATGGCTGTATTTAGAGTGCTAGTGTGAGTCCCGCTAACCAGAGTCTGTTGATGCAGGCTGCAAGGTTCACTTCTGCAGACTCCAAAATGCTATGTGGACATACCTGAAGGGGCACCGACTTAATGCACCCTATTGTACCTACTTATGTGAGGAAATGCGGTAAACTTCACCTTCAGTTGTGGATTTCCTTGCTGCTTTTGGTATAAGTGGAACATTCTTCTAATTGTAGTTCTTGGTGTAGTTTTTAATAATTTAGCTTTTTAATACAACCTTTAGCAGAAGGGGTTATAATGATGGATGTGTTCAGGTTCTGGCAGTGATCATCAGTAGACCATATGGCCAAACAAATGGTGTCCTGGGATACAATTGAAGAACTTTCCAAAACTTGCTTGGCTTGTTGTTTAGTCTCTTTGTGAATTCATCATTGTTCAGCGATAACAAATTATTCAGTAAGCATGGAATACTTTTGCTTTTATGTTTAGATTTGGGCTGTCAAGCGATTTAAAAAAAAAAAAATTAATCATGATTAATCATGCTGTTAAGCAATAAGTATACACCTCTACCCCGATATAACACAAATTCGGATAGAATGCGGTAAAGCAGCGCTCCGGTGGGGCAGGGCTGCACGCTCCGGCAGATCAAAGCAAGTTCGATATAACGCGGTTTCACCTATAACTCGGTAAGTTTTTGTTTTTTGTGGCTCCCGAGGACAGCTTTATATTGGGGTAGAGGTGTACTATTTATATAAATATTTTTGGATGTTTTCCACATATTTCAAATATATTGATTTCAATTACAGCACAGAATAAAAAGTGTACAGTGCTCACTTTATATTTTTTTTATTATAAATATTTGCACTGTAGAAATAAAAAATAGTATTTTTCAATTCACTTAATACAACTACTGTAGTGCAATATCTTTATCATGGAAGTTGAATTTACAAATGTAGAATTATGTACCAGAAAATAACTGCACTCAAAAACAAAACAATGTAAAACTTTAGAGCAGGGGAAGGCAACCTATGGCACGCATGCCGAGGGCGGCACGCAAGCTGATTTTCAGTGGCACTCACACTGCCTGGGTCCTGGCCACCGGTCCGGGGGGGCTCTGTGTTTTAATTTAATTTTAAAGGAAGCTTCTTAAACATTTTAAAAACCTTATTTACTTTACATACAACAATAGTTTAGTTATATATTATAGACTTGGAGAAAGAGACCTTCTAAAAACATTAAAATGTATTACTGGCACGCGAAACCTTAAATTAGAGTGAATAAATGAAGACTCGGCACACCACTTCTGAAAGGTTCACCCTGCTTTAGAGCCTACAAGTCCACTCAGTCCTACTTGTTCAGCCAATCGCTCAGACAAACAAGTTTGTTTACATTTACAGGAGATAATGCTGCCCGCTTATTATTTACAATGTCACCTGAAAGTGAGAACAGGCGTTCGCATGGCACTCTTGTAGCTGGTGTTGCAAGATATTTATGTGCCAGATGCGCTAAAGTTTCATATGTCCCTTCGTGCTCCAACTACCATTCCAGAGGATACGCGTCCATGCTGATGATGGATCATTATTGAGCAGAATCCAAAGCAGTGCAGACCGACGCATGTTCATTTTCATCCTCTGAGTCAGATGCCACCAGCAGAAGGTTGATTTTCTTTCTTGGTGGTTCGGGTTCTGTAGTTTCCGCATCGGAGTGTTACTCTTTCAAGAATTCTAAAAGCATGGTCCACACCTTGTCCCTCTCAGATTTTGGAAGGCACTTCAGATTCTTAAATTTTGGGTTGAGTGCTGTAGCTATCTTTAGAAATTTCACATTGGTACCATCTTTGCATTTTGTCAGATCTGCAGTGGAAGTGTTCTTAAAACGAACAATATGCTGGGTCATCATCCAAGACCGCTATAACAGGAAATATATGGCAGAATGCGGGTAAAACACAGAGTATGAGATGTACAGTTCTCCCCCCAAGGAGTTCAGTCACAAATTTAATTAATGTATTATTTTTTTAACAAGTGTCACAAGCATGTCCTCTGGAAGGGTGGCTAAAGCATGAATGGGCATACAAATGTTTAGAATCTCTGGCATGTAAATACCTTGCAATGCCGGCTACAAAAGTGTCATGTGAATGTCTGTTCTCACTTTCAGGTGACTTTGGGCAGTATTATGGGGGGGAGGGGATAGCTCAGTGGTTAGAGCATTGACCTGCTAAACCCAGGGTTGTGAGTTCAATCCTTGAGGGGGCCATTTAGGGATCTGGGGCAAAAATCTGTCTGGGGATTGGTCCTGCTTTGAGCAGGGGTTTGGACTAGATGACCTCCTGAGGTCCCTTCCAACCCTGACATTCTATAATTATCTCCCATACATGTATACAAACCTGTTTGTCTGAGCGATTGCCTGAACAAGAAGTAGGACTGAGTGGACTTGTAGGCTCTAAAGTTTTACATTGCTTTGTTTTTGAGTGCAGTTTTGTAACAAAAAAAAAATCTACATTTGTAAGTTGTGCTTTCACGATAAAGAGACTGCACTACGGTACTTGTATGAGGTAATTGAAAAATACAGTTTCTTTTGTCATTTTTACAGTGATATATTTGTAATAAAAATAATATAAAGTGAGTACTGTACACTTTTTGTATTCTGTGTTGTAACTGAAATCAATATATTTGAAAAATGTAGAAAAACAGCCAAAATAGTTAATGAATTTAAATTGGTATTCTATTGTCTAACAGTGCTATTAAAACTGCGATTAATTTTTTAATTGCGATTAATTTGAATTAATCGCGAGTTAACTACATTTAACTGACAGCCCTAGTTTAGAGAACTACATGAGAACTTGTGACAAGGCAGTAAACTTGTCACAAACTTGTCCATGGTTTGTCATACTGAATTGCACTGAATATATGCACAGTGTCTGTATGCAAATACTAGTTGGTGTCCAAGAAAAGCTCATGGCTGGAGGAGTGAACACAGATTTTTGGTTATGCACTTCATCAGGAATGCTACCTTCATAGGGAAAGAGTTACTTATTTTGTTAGTCACACCTGGCAGTGACCTGTTCATCTCACCATTGTATTGTTTTATAGGATATACTGCCTGTCCAGGGCCTCAGAGGGACAGGCGAGTGGTTTAGTCAGACAGCCAGGGATTCCAAGCAGGGCCCAGAAATAACTGGGGCCCGTTAATGTCTGTGGAAACCAGCCTGGACCACACAAGAAAGGAGCAAGGTACCAGAGGCTGGGAGTGGCTTAAGAGTGAAGTAGCCATGCTGAGGGAAATCTGCAGGGACTCTAGACTTGATATGGAGGCAGCCCTAGTGTCAGGTGTGC